CCCTGCCATGTGCAGAAAATTTGCACATCCTTTCCTTTTGCATTGATGTAATATTTTCTCTCTCCAGAAAGGGAACAGTGAATGTTTTATATACTGCAGGTTTCCTTAATTCTGAACAAAACTGGGCACCCCGTAAGAAGTTGCATCTCCTAATGTCCACTACACCTACAGTGCAAAACTGTGGGAAGAGGGAAGACAAACTGGTGCTGACAGTCTTCCTTCCCACCAAGATTAGAGGCAGCAAGAATAATTTACTTTGATGAATCGTATTCTTTCCTGCTATGCAAGGTTCCATAAAGGTTGACAGTATAATGGCTTGAAAGAGCCATTATGATGTAAATCTGAATATCCAACTTCGAACTGACTCAGTGGGACACCATATGCTATCCATATAATGAGGCTATGTATTTATTTATTTATTTATTTTTCCTTGGAGTAAAGTGTAAGAAAGCAATATAAAAGGCACTGGAAGTTCCTCTTTAGTCTGGGTTATTCTATTTTTGCAATAGTCAGCTGTCAAGCTTAAAAAAATAGCTTTAGACTGCTTAGATGAGGTCAAAATAGTAAAGCATTATAATTATGGTGTTAGACTAGCAGTATAAAATGTTTAGTGTTTCACTTCTGTGGAATCGCACAGAGATGCTGGAGTCTGTCTTTCCACCCTGCCTCCTCAGGCCTTATTTTTGCTCCACCCCTCTTGAAAGAAAGAATAAATACAGTGATTTGATGAAATTTGCTGTTCACAGTTGTTGCCCATAAAATGATTAGGTTTCCAGGCAAAGTGAGGTTTAAAATAGCTATGCTCAAGTGGAGAAAACGAGCAAATAAAGCTCAGCCACATCTTGCGGTGCCTGGTGCTCATGTAAAATGAGTCATTGCAGAAACAGAGAAGTAGCCAGGTGGAGAGGGGGCAGAGGTGCAAGGAGAAAAGGGTAGTGAAGCCTCACGGGGTGGGTGACTTTTCTCTGCATTATCCTCTTGAGGGAAAGGCACCAGCGTGGATTAGCTTGTTGTGGGGCGAAGGCAGGTGAGAGGGAAAGGGCTCGGGAGGAGGGTTTGGTGCTGGCCGGTGAGGCTGGAAGTGGCGTTGGAAATGATTCACGGAAAGCTGTGGTAGTTGCCCCGCTGCAGATGCGGAGTGGTTGTTCCTGCAGCGCTGTGGCGGAGCGGCTGTGGCGTCGTGTCTGCCTGTCCTCCCGCAGCGCCCGTGTCCGTGTCCATGGGGTCGGCGTGCGGCGCCGGGCCTTGCCCTCTGCGAGCCCTCCTGAGCGGGGCCCGTGCGCGGTGATTCCTCTTGCCGCACGTTCACCAAGAAGGAAAAAGGAGACGAGCCAAGAATGGGGGTTAACAGGGTGTCAGTTACTGTGTCAGTGTGGCAACAGTGCTGCTTGCCAGAGCACAACCACCGCTGTGGCGCGGGCTCACCAGGCCGGCTATGCCTTAGGGGCCTGATTTCCAAACGGGAGCGCAGACATGTGCATGGAGGCAGCACAGGCTGCCTAGCCTACGTGTACAGTCTCAGCATGCTAAACTCTACACGTGCCTCATTTAAGGTCCAGCCATTTAGCAATAATCTCTTAGGCCCTTAAGCAGCCTCATCTCCCTTGGTTTGAGTACTGTTGCCTCCAATGCCTTCTAACAGAAACTATGCTGTATGAAATCACAGGCTGTGGAGCATGCTGAGGTTGCACTGGGTGGGAGGAGGCATTCGTACATCAACTGCTTTTTAACACGTTTACTTTGCTGCTTGTGGAGACCTTTCCTCCATAAATAGGGAAGACAATGGTAAAAAGATTTGCATTGTTTAGAGCTTTTGTAATGTTGTATCTGTCTTAATGCTCTTAGTCTCTTACTAGTAATTCCAGCAGTTATTACGTAATCCAAGCACCTAAGTTTCCTAAAACCTGGCTTTGCTTGGACTGCAATTTTATCAAGAAGTTGTTTGAGAACATTGTTTTCTTGTCTGTATTTCACGGATATAATGCATTCTCAGTACATCTGTAACTCCATTACATTAATGTAGAACTATGTTCCACTTTAGAACAACTGATCTTCTAGCAAATCACTGTTCATTGGAAAACAGATGTTGGAAGTGAATAGTGAAAAACCCAAACCTTTTCTGCTAGGTCTTTTTGCTGCTATGATTCAGCTTCCAATTTCAGGAATCCCAAGACTAACATTATTTCTAACTACCTAAATGTGTAATAATGTGACTGTAAAGAGAGTTTTTATTAAGATAACACATGCTTCCTTTATATTTTTTAAAAACGTACTCATTTTAACATAAATTATGCTGTTTCCATTCTTTGCGGTACGTGAGCTTAAATTATTCAGTTCCATGTTGAAACTGTTTTGATCAGGTTGACTTCACATGGTTCTGATTTTGAACCTATAAAGAAAAGAACGCACATTTTTGAAATTACACTTGAATTAAGTAGATTTTCCTTGAATTAACTAGTCTGGACAAACTGGGCAGATCCCATCATCGACCATTCTTTCCAAATTATTTGTGAGACTAAATTTTGACCTTGTATAATAATAATAATAAAAAAAAGCCTGCAGACACACTGATACCCCAGACAAATCCATAAGACAGATGATGTGATAACTCACTCTTGGTCACCTTCAGTGAACATTTTGGAGGGCCAGAACTGTCACTTTTTCAGGTACGAAACAGACACGTGCACAAGGCAATATGTGAATGAAGAAGGAGCTTTGGGGGCCTAGAAAGTGAACGTGCTGTGGGTGCCTGCTGACAAGCAGCCATGCACCCTATCTCTTCTGCCCTGGAAGAGGAGAGGAGGGTCTGGTCCAGTGCCAAAGACTCTGAATAGCCAGAAATGCCCCTTCAGGGCTGCCCGGTTTTGTTCTTGGGCACAGGAGGAGCACACAGGGAAAGGGAAGGCACCGTGACAGTGCCTCAGGGGACGTGGTGGGGCAGTCCATTAGACCTGCATTAAGTCCTCACAGCTGCTGAGGTTGGAGCATGGCCAGCAGGGAGTTGGGGACCATGCGTGCTTTGAAGCCTGAGGCGACACTGTCTTTAGATGCATCTTTACTCTGAGGAGTAGCAATTGGGTAAGATAGCATTTTCTGGGGTCCCACTGCTGGTACATGCGAAGATAAGTCTGGCTGAGCACCCCATGTGCACACACTCATCAATCTTAGCAGCAATGCAGCAGCACAGAATGAAGGCCACAGAAAGTGCTGACCAGGAGTCTAGATGCCACAGGATTAATTAACGTCAAATAAATGATGGGGGCTGTCGCTTTGCCTTCCTGGGCGTTTGTATTTTAATTAAGTAACATTCAGTATCAAAGTGGAAGGAATGGCAAACCTATACAAAATGGAAGCTGAAAGTACAAAGATTAAAATAGGGTGCACCAGGAAGGGGAGGTGCATGAAAGGGATGGGTAGATGCCAGGTGAGTCGGTAGGGTTGGGATTCAAAGTCAATACCTTTCATGAGATCTGTTTCTGCACGTAGGTGGTCACCATGACATTTGCAGAGTAGTTGTTTTGAGTGGGAATTGCAGAATAAAGTTGACTTGTGCAGAGAGCTGTGCTGTATTTGAAGAAAGAGACTTTTTATGCCTGATTGGTTTCATAACCCATTACCTGTCTAACCAGTAGTATTGCAAATGAGTACATAACTGGGTGCACTATATATATACCCTACATACATCTTCTGCAGGGATGTTAAAATTTTATAGTTTTGATTATCATAAAAAAAAGGTACCACCAAATACAGAATCCTGGAACTAGGAACTAATCTGTCAAACTTTATTCATGCTGAAGCTGTCTCAGCTACTCAGCAAAGTGCAGTTCTAGAGCAGAGGCCTGAAGGGAATACGCAGCATGTAACATGAGCATCATGGCTTTAGCTTTTGGACGAAGTCACACGGGAAATTCCCACACAAATTTAGGGCATTGCTGTTTATTTGCACGCTGTGCTTTGGTTTGAACTGTTGATAACTGTAAACTATGCAGATGTCTGTCCTGCCTTTCTTTTTTAACCGCCAAAACACACTTTCCACTAAACCTATCCTTTGTCCTGCTGATCAGCTCAGGGATTCCCATGTTTTACCTGTACAGAGTGTATCGATACAGGAGCTTCAGGCTCAACTTGAGCAGGAGACGAGACTTCACCGAGAGGAGCAAGAAAAGTTTACAGAAAGGATCATTCAGGTAAATAAACGACCCAGCTGCTGTGAGAGACGCATGGCCATAGTGTGTGGACCATAACCTTGTGTGTCAGAAATGCGGGAACTCGTGTCCTAAAAGACCTGGGTTTTGAGCTCATCTGAGTAAATGAAGAATCTGGGAGTTAGTAAAATCTCAACTGAAAATAGTTCTACTACTTTCAATGTGGCTTCTCCATTCATTAGGGAGTGACTTTGTCCTCTTATCTATGTAAACCATATGAGAAAGAAGCCATTCCATTGAGTTGCCAGGGTAGCTCCTAAAATTTTCCAACCCTGGTAGGTGCTGAGCAGGGAAAAATCAAGCTCTAAGGGGCATTTTCCATCAGAGACCTCCAGTGTAAGACAAGCAGATAAGTGGAAGGGGAAACCGTGAAATATTGCAGTAGGAGTTTTGTCAGCCCTCTGTGAGCTTGGGAAGAGCTGTGCTCTCTGGGAGCAGTTCTGACACTTCTGCCCCTTCCTAATCCAAAGAAAACCCAACTCTACTCTCAAGTCAGAGGAGCTGCTACTCTCTCTCGAGTGAGATGCAAATCAAGTCATTCTGTGTTTCTCAGTACCCCATGTTTCCATTCCTCTTGCTCATAAACAGTGAAGAAATCCTATTTTGTTACATGTGCTCCCCTGGCTTTCTTCAAGGCTGGAACATTAGTCAATAACTCTGGAGCAGAAAAATCTGTTGCCAATTTTTGCAGGCTGTTTAGCACTTTACTGAAGTTTTCTTTTAAAATTTACTTCATAAACCAAATTTAGCATAACTGTTGCATGGTGTAAAACATGTATCCTTGTGTCAGCTAATCGCATTATGCCCAAGTGGTATTTCTCCATTCTCTGTCATAAATAGTTTTAATTTCCAGTTGATCTCCATAGGAGCTTTCCTGTGGAGGTTTTTGAAGGCAACCAGTAAATTGATTTCCTTCCTAGCTGTCTTGAATGCTTTTTGGAAGCTGTGCCTGCCTCTTAAAATTCTTTTATTCTGCAATAGCATAATACCCTCTGAAGTTACCTCCACGAGGGACTTCTGCAAGCATTTGTGGCCACTGTGACTTAGACCATAATAGCTTGTAAAACAATAAAAAATGCAGCAGAATCAAAGCTAAATATTCACACTTAAAACAGTAGAAAATGAAGAATGAAAGCGTCTTCTGGATTCTTCATTTTTTCCAGATTATGCCCATCCTGTTTGATATTACTCCTTTTTTTAATCATCTTCCAGGATTTCTGGTGGAAATGACTCATAGATCTTTGCTGTATTTAACCGTAACTTTGTTTGGTGTAGGAATCTGTATCAACACCAGATCTGTTTGTGTCTTGCTGTGAAGATTAAATTTATAAAAATCTCCTTTTTACTATTTCATTTATGGCAATATTTAAGGGCATTTAATTAATGCATGCTAGTGGTATACAATCCTCACGAGTGTTATCAGAAGCTGTGTGTATGTTTTAGGGACCGTTATATCTAATTTTGTTTCAGATTACTTTTAAGATGCATTATAAACCCACTTAAGCAAGTAAGTATTGTAAATAATTCTGATTTAATCAGGAATATATTTACAAGTTTTTATACTTACTTAAAGGATTATTTATTATAATGAAATTATATAACAAAATCAAAATATTTTTTCTTCTAAAATCTTCCAAATTGTTTCAGTTAATGTTAAAGATGCATTCACTTTTAAAGAAATGTTAGCATATATGTTGAAACTTTACATTATGCCAGAGCATAATTTAAAGGCAACACAGTCATTAGTAAAGTATCTAGCATGGAAGAAGCAGTTGTCTCCTAAGCATCTGAATTTTGCTGTGAAAAATCAAGCTTATATTTATTATAGTATTTGCTGATGGGGCTGTCTTCCTATCCCCCGAAGAAGGATTTCAGAAGCATTCTTCATAACTATGTGCATGTTCTTCATGCCAGGGTATGTTCCTATGGTGTAAACCATTGTGGTTGTTAATTTACTATGGCTTTCATAGATTATATCTGTGGAGCTGGTAAGCAGAGAGAGAGTGAGAGGGTCTGTTTTTCTATATAGGTGAATTAATACAACAGAATGGAAAATAGTAAAAATTGTCATTTGGAAATGAGTGGCTCTATACTCCTTTTCTGTGTGCTTTTCTTCATCAATATGAACTACAGCTTTGTCTCTTCAGGTAGCATGTGAGATGTTGTACAGCTAGCTTGTCTAGGTGTTCCTGGCCAGAGCCATGCTGTTCCTTGGTTTTGACATGCTGAGGGAGAAGTCACCTTTGAAGAACAGTATTTTAGGCGGGCTTGTGTCGAAACAGGTGTAATTACACTTGGACTTCAGGCTATGAGCTTTTCCTGGTGCTTCTAGTACTGCAACTCCAGACCGGTGAAGGCAGAGTTGCAGCCTGTTGTTATCTGCTCCGTTCCTGCGAGCATCCCTTGCCTAGTCGGAGCAGAATGAGAAAGTGTTTGTCGTGAGCTGCCCAGGTGCCAGGAGGATGGATGGTGGGAAAGGAGGGTCTCGTAGTCAGGTCTGAGATGCTGGATGTGGTTCCTTGGGAAGTGTTGCCCTTCCAGAAGGAGCAGGAGACAGTTTAGGCTGTGCTGGGAGCGTACTGCAGGGACACAGTCAAGACAGGGAGGAAAGCACAAGGGCTGAAAAATGTCTACATGTGCATCTTCAGAGTGCCTCTTCCAAACAGCAAACAGGCCTCTTCCACAGCAGACTACTAGGATGGGGTTATCTAAGCCACATTTATCACTCGTGGTCCTCTGGTTTCCTCAACCCTTGCCAAAGTCAAACTAGAGATTTCAGTACAAACTAGAGATTTCAGTGTGTCTCACTCAACTTAGTACGAGTGTTGGAGACCCCTAGGAGAGGACCTTGTTGACGTTGTGTCTGTGGTTCCATTAAAGCTGGAGGAGGAGCATATGCAGACCCTGCGGAGGAAAGACTTGGAAGTGCAGAGCTTGACTTTGCAGAACAAGCTGGAAGAGAAGACCTGGAGCCAGGAGAAGAGCCTGCTGCACCAAGAGCTGAGGCACTTCAAGCAGGACACCTTCCTGCTGTACATGAAGCTGAAGTGGCTGCTGAAGCACTGGCGGCAAGGCAAGCGGATGGAGGAGGAAGGGGAGGACGTACTCGAGGTAACTGGACCACAGTGATAACCCAGTTAAATTGCAAGGGGGAAGGGCTTTCCAGCACTGCCACTGGGGGCATGGACACTGGGATGCCCCTTCTTTAAGACAAGCTTTAAATATGATGTGGCAGCAGCAGCTTTGTGATTAGGTATGGGCTTTAAGAGGTTGAAAGTAAACCATGAAGCCTTTTATTAGGTTGGCTTGTACTAAAGGGGATTCTGTATGATATCTTTATGTTACAGATCACTTATCTTTGAATCGAAACCCTTGGCTAGTACAAACATCTGGTCCTGAAAAATCCTCTCATAGTAAATGAAGATTTAATTAGGCCTCTGAGATATGACTCCTGAGTAATTTTTGGAAAGAAAAAAATGCATTAGTGAGCTGATGGAGTGGAATTGGTTTAGATGACTTGAGTGCTGTCATTTTTCTCAAGTGAGTGTACAGTGTATTCCTTACAGAGCCTTCAGCAATACAGATGGAGGGAAGCTCTGTTTTCATGTTGGCAGGAGAACTACACAGCTTCTTGTGGGAACTTACAGTGATTCATTCTTGTTTGTTCCTTCTCTGCATGCACACGTCTATCACCGTCAGCAGCAATACACCGGGAGTCATCATGGTGATTTTCCAAGCAGCAACTAAATTAAGATCAGGAATTTCATAAGTACATAGCAACCTGGAATCCCCAAGCTGGCATGATTAACAGGGATGTGATTTCCAGAAATGTACTGTGAGAAAAGGTGCTGCTGAGCTGTGTCAGGCTGCAGAGCCAGAATTAACAATTGCTTTGGAAATCTTATCCAAAGAAATCCTAGATAGAAAAGTATATTGGCCCATTCAGACATTTTGTCCAAAATCCTTGTGAAGGGCAGAGGGATCTTGCAGGCTCATGCAATTTTAAAACCATCTCATCAAACACTCATGTTGGATTTTTTTTCCCACTATTTCTGGTATTTATGTACCCAATGTTTTCCAGTGTTTGCATTTTCTACATTTGGCAGAACAAGAAATCTTTCACGTCTGCTAAGAATATGGTTAGGTAGAATACTCCAATGTTTTGCATGCCAAATAGAGGATGGATGAACATCCGTACCTTTAAGAGATGTGGAAATATGAGTCAGAAAGATGAGTAGCTGTTTAGAAATAATTTGCTTCTACTTTACTTCAGAAATACTGATTTGCTTTTTTGTGTACTAACTCATCTTCTATCATCTTCTATCTAAATAGCTTCCATTTTTCACTACTTGGGTTTTTTGACTGGTTCATTTACAGTCAGTCCCTCTCCTGTCATTACTGTTGTCACGAGTTTTCATTAACTCAACAGAGAAAATGAAGTGGTGGATTCAGGCCCCTCCTGATCTCCATATCTTCGTCCTACAGTACCACCATTGTCTTCTGTAGGTTTTCATTGCATGATGACTCTCACACTGCGTGGTGCTTGTGCATCCCTCTTCTCAACCACACAGCTACAACAGGCAGCTCTCCTGTTTTGCAGGCCTGCATAGCACTGTGTTCTCATGTGCAGCAAGTCAGCTGGTATTGCTCAGCGGCCGTATGGAAGACTGTCCCCAGTAACCTACAGAATGGAAGCAGCCACTATACCCTGCCAGAAAGAGAAAATAGTCCTTTCCCTTAGTCCTTCAGGAGATTTCTGTTCCTCCATGGTAAATGTAGGAAGACTGTTGATTTGTCCCATCTTGTGCATTTCAGATCGAGCCTCTTGAGGCCCTCCCTGAATTTGGCCTTCCATCTGAGCAAAAGGCGGAGGATGCAGAGCGAGAGGAGGAGGAAGAGGATGTTGTTTTTGCACTGGCAGATTATTCTCAGCGTCCCACTGTGGAGAGCACTGATCACGGGCCACAGCTGCAGACTGCAGAGTTACTGCAGCAGCAGAAGCAGGTACCGTACGAGAAGGCACTTGTATGTCATGTCCTGGGAATGGAAAGTGTGGATTTTCCAGGGGATGCATATTCTGCTGCTGCTGTGCTAAATCACCTGGAATCATGTTCATAACAACAGCTCTAGCAACACAGCAGTTGCAATGGATTTCGTCCATTAGATTTATATTTAATCAGGAGCCACGTGATTACTGTTCTCCTGTTGGCAGATGATCTCAGGGAAAAATTCTATTTCCTCTTGTGGCCGTTTGCCCAGAAACATCTATCAGTGTGTGATGGTTTGCAGAATTTACACACTTCTCTTGCCTCTGCATATCTATTGTATTCTCCTGTCCAGCTTCTAGCAAAAAGAGGTGATTTTACTTCCTTTAAATAATTTAAGAAATGAGCACATGTATTTAATGATTCCTTTAGAGATGATGGGAAAACAGTGCAAAAGTTCCTTCCTGTCACTGGGCCTCATTTTCAAATACCTAAGGGCAAATCATGCTGAGTTTTCCCTGGTGTCTTCTCCACCCTGTCTCTGTGTGTCAGAGCAATGTGCAGAGAACTCAACACTCAACACTCAATAAAAGCATGCAAGACAGAAGTTTGATTTCACCACCACGCTACATATATATTTTCAAAGGCTGCAAAAACTCCTAAGCATGGTAAAATTTAATACAAAACAGTATGAAATTCACAGGTAGGACATATTACAGTTGGACTGAATAAACTGAACTATTACCCATTTTTTAGTTTTCATCATTTATACACTATAGCTGCACAGCTTTAGCCATTTCTTTTCTGCACATGTCTTGTGAAGAGGTTTATCTTTAACTGAGTAACTGTGTATTCTTTTCCTCATGGTTTCTTGTTTCATTCACTCAACAGTTTTTGAAATGTGTGGTGAACTACCCAACCCTCCAAAACATGGGTGTTTTGCTGAAAGACTGAAGGCACACACACCAACAGAACACATAGTTATATTCTGATTTATTTTATAGTTTCACTGACATTTCTTCACACGGTACCTTGTGTCCCGTTTAAAGGCTCAACCAAATTTTCATAATTTCTAATATCTCTAAGTGAGTAAAACTAAGACTCCACGGATATGAAATATGGTGCTGATCACTGTCACACATCTTTGTGCTGAATTTTTCAGTGTTTGGTGCATTGTTGTGTGCATTGAATATGCCTAGTGAATTCAAAGCTTTGTGCGTTGAATATACCAACAATCCTAATAACGACAGTAATAACAAACTTTCAAAGAGGAAAATCCGGGCTTCTAACATAGCCCTTTTGATGCATCTTCTTATATTTTTAAAATGGAAAATGTTCAAATGACAGCATCTCATTATTTAGAACTATTTACAAATGGACGTAGCAGCAAAAAATCTGAGAAAATAACATATTCAGTGAAAAAGTTCTTGTATCCTTATGCCTTATGTTTAGTCTCTGTGCAGGCCCCTGCCTTGGAGCCCCTTCTTTAGCAAACGTTTTCCACAACCACGTTACGCTGCTGGCCTTGCTGCAGGCTCTGGGGTTAGTGTGGGTTGTGTCTCCGCATATCCCTTCCTCTCCTTAAATTCTCTCTGAATTCCCCCAGTTCTCAGGACTGTGCAGTTTACATATTGCCTGTGTTGGCAACAGTAAGTCTCCGTCCTAGAGTAAAGTTAGGCTGGTGCTGGGAGATAGAGAGGCTCTCTTGCAAACTACCTCTCTATTCAGTTAGAATTCGTCTTTGAATGCAAAACAGTAGAGAAAAAGAGCACTCTGCCACTTCCTAGCCTGCTTTCAGCTCATGTACTCTTGAGCTTTCCTTTTTAATAGTACTAGCTGATGATTCCATCTCTAGCTGTGATTTCAGATGACGTTTGTTCCCAAGGTAGCATTGCTCCCAACGTTTGATCAGTTTAGCATTTGGAAAACGTATAGTGCTACTAATGCTGGTGGAGGTCAGACAACTTTGCTTTCAGGAACATCTTTGTCAATCCTAGACCCATCACTGTTTTCCTCTCAGCAAGCTCCTTTCTGGTAGAGGTTGAAGAAGGCTGTGGAAGAGATGCTCCCGAGCATTTCATTTTGCGGCATTCACTCTGTAGACTGATTTAATCTGTGTATAATAAATATGAAGCAATATACCGTCTCAGTACAACCTTTGTCATATATTTTCCATATATATCCCTTAAAATGACCAAGAACATGCAAATAAAATATATCTTATTTAAAATAATCATTGCTTGGAGGCTAATCTCAATTTAAGTGACAAAAATGGTTAGTAGGATGGAAGGTTAATAGCTTGCATGATGTTCTAAGACAGCATTTCCAGCTAATCTCACTTAAAGAAATGAGGTACAGAAACAGACCCCTGTTGATAGAAGAAATATTTTATATTAAACAGTGCACAACACCCAGATGGATTTGTGAAGGTAAAAGAGGTTTCCTACCTTCCAACTGTGAAAAAGTGTTATTTCAACACTGCAAGTGAGCAACTTTGCTCAGCATTCTTCATTTCAAGCATTATTACTTGTTTCACCTGTTTACTTTTTTTTACAGTGCACTGAGTCTTCCCACAAGCACTGTATTTATTCACAGGCGTGTGCTTGAATGGGTTGAACAGGGTTTTTGGTGCTACTTGGATTGTAGCTATTAATGGGGAGGAAGGATTATAATCCTATCCTGTGACACAGAAATAGGGAGCCTCAGTGTAGGTTAATTCTGATCCTGGGATAAACTCAGGGCATCGATGTCTTCTGTGACAAAGGGCTGGGATGGAGGCTCAAGGCTTTCCCAGAACCAAGCACTGACCTCCGATGCTTTAGTGGGATTTGACTCATCTGCCCATCTCACTGTGGCCCTGCCAACCTCCTCCATGAGGTTCTCACCAAGGTCACAGAAGCTGGTCCTTGATCTACACCTATGACAGACTTTCTTCTGTAAACTTATCCACTTAATTCACATATGATCCTGAAAACTCACTGGTTAATTTGTCCATTAACTGAGCAAAACACATCTGCTTGTGCAATCTCTGCTCTGCAAAGAGCAGATGCAGAGCACGTCCTGAAGACAGAGATCTCAGCAGTGTTCACCTTCTCCTACTGACTTGTCAGTGACTTATCCTGTGATTAAAAAAAAAAAAAGATCTTTGGGGTCTTGTGCAGGTTCCTTGGGGTCTTGTGCAGATTCCTTAAGCTCTCAGTCAGGAATAAAAGCTGTATATTGGGCTTTTCAGGTGAGTGCTGTAACAGGGGGAAGTCTATCAAGACTGCACCTGACCAAGGAGAGCCCAGAGCCGCTGTTTCTGCCTGGCAAACTCCCAAGATGAAAAGCATCAGCACTTAAAAGTGTTTAAATGTTTAAGCTTCGTTCCACATGAGGAAGGAAATCTTGCGATAGTCTAAGAGCTGCTGTGATAACTAGGTCAGAAAAAAAGGAAAACTAACTCAAAGTAACCCACATTTATTTTTAATATTAAATGGTCTTGCGTTTCTAATGCCATCCCTTTGCTGATAACCAGGGTGAGTGGCAGAAGAGGCTGGACAGGGAAGGTTCAGGAGCCAGGAAGAAAGGCTGGTCCCAGGCAGGGGACAAGCAGGCAGGTTGGGCTGGTGGCGCCGGAGAGCCGGCTGGCGGGCACGGAGGGAGGCGGGGGGGCCTTTGGATGAGCAGAAAGGGTGAAATGCCCCTTGGTGCTGTAGGACCAGGGGACTGAAAAGAAAGGAGTTTACCTATCTGCTGGCCAATAGAAAACGTGTTAAAAATCAATACACTCACGGGTAGGGCTGTGGGGACTCCAGAAAATCTCTAGTTAGATTTTTTCTTGCATATTTGTTTTCAAAACTTAGCTTAAAAAAAGGCCTAAAGGAAGAGTAATTAAGACTTAAATATTCTAAAATGATTTGCACAAATATCCAGCTTCACTTTTTTTCCTAGAGCTGTGAATACAGAGAGAAAATGCACAGTTCTCGGAGTTTAGGCTCCAGACTTGTATTTTTAATTCATTGCTCTGCTAAACTGCTCACAATCCCAGATTTTGGCTAACTTGTTAAATGAAATTCTCCAAGAAAAGAAAGTGTGTCATTAAAACCAGAACCAAGCTTCAAACAATTTCTCAGGTCCCAAATATTTCTGGAGCTGGAGGCTCACATCTCTGGGCTCGAATCTACTTAGTAAAGACTCCAAAGTCCTGGAACTGAAATGGGCTTTGCCATGTTATGTTCCTACTTCTTGTCAACTGGTATTTCATTTGCCTATAAAACCTGACCTGTGGGTGCAACAAGACTCTAAACTGTTTTTTTTTTTTTTTGGTTTTTGTTTTCTATTTCTTTGTCTTGGATCTGTTGTGAATCAGTCTAAATTATAGTGATTTTTCAGGTACTAAGGAGACAGCTACTTACGTGGGAGACTATTCAGAGAATCACGGCAATGCCCTGTTTCTTCTGCCTGTGTGCAGCAAAACATCTCTGGGAGGAGCAGGAAGACAGGAACAATCATTATTTTATACCTATGGGATTTACTGTTATGCAAAAGCTATTTGACAGTTTTACCATCAGAAGGCTAAAAAAAAAAATTCTAAATGTAAATGTTGTATTTCCAAGCACATCATCTCAAAAGTACCATGTTTGTTCTCTAAAAATTCTTCAGTTTGGCAGAACAGAATAGTAATCACACAGACCTCTCCAACTTCAGGCTGCAAAGTCACACACAAGGGACTTCTCTGCGGGAATTAGAAGAATGCACCAAAAATGTTACTTATATCGGCAAGTTAATTAAAATCTCAGGGGGTACCTGGGGTGCTTGTCTCATACAGTGACATTGATGTAACACCTCTAGAAATAAGATGTGCCCTCTCCCCAGCAGGCTGCAAACCTGCAGGGAGGTTCTCCTAACTCCTCTCCGCCCCAGTTGATGGCTTATTTCTTCATAAGACCTAATTTGATGCCACTCTAAAACTTAAAAAATGCTTGCACAGGAATGCAGGAGCAAAGGGAGGCTTTAGCTTGCTTTTATTTCACTTGGGTTTATTTTTCTTCTGCCTCTTTTCCCTTGTGGAGCCTTTCGATTACTTTGCCCAAGAAAGAGTTTGATGCAGCACACAAGGAAACACAGAATGTGGCTCCTGAACAAAAGCACTTCCGAGGCACTGGGAGTCAAGGGTTAGCTGAGGAGGTGAGGTCAGATTTTGAAGCACTCAGGACCTAGCAGCTCCCACTGCGATCCTAAGGACAGATCTTCAAAAGATACTTTATTCTGATCACTGTGCAAGAGACTTGTTTGGAGAATCTGGCCTTTGCTGGATATCAGGATGCCAATTCATGGTGCAAACCTGTAAAATCTCATCACCTATTGAAAAGCAGGTGATCTATGTGCATAATGGGGAGTGCAGCTGCATAGTAGGTTACTGCTAATTGGCATTAAATGTTAATGGTGTTAATTCTGCTTCTATGGGTGTGTTTCTTACACAATGTCACGTTGCACGCCGTCACATTTCCTTAGCCCAAGCAGATTCAGGTCAGTCAGGGAGCACCTGCACCCATTTTCCTATGCGTTCAGCAATTTTTTGGGCTGATGAACCAAATGGGTTGGAAAAAGTAGACCATCTCTGTATGTTTGTTTCAAGAAGAAGGTGGAACAGCATGTCTGACTAGCAGAAGTTGGTGAGGTGGGTTCAGTGATGCCAAAGCATCTGGTAGGCAGGTGAAATCAGCTGACTTGCCTGTGCAAAACTGTATCCCGTACAGCTTAACCATTAACTTTTTTAGAGCTCTAAAGTTCTGTGATCCTTCTGAGCCTTTGGTCTGGAGTCACAGAGCTGAAGTGTGAAGGAGCAGAGGTGGAAGCCCCGCTTCGGACTTGCTTGGAGGGCACCCTGGGGTGCAGCCCCCCGGACCCTCTTGGCCTGTGGGGGATGCTCGGTTGGCTTTGCCGCTTTCTCCATCCCGTGCAGTTCCCAGGAGCAGTGGTGCTACCACCCCACACGTGCCTGGCCACAGAGCTGGGCACAACCCTCTGCGCAGGGGCCGCAGCTCTGCAGCTTGTCCTGGACCGGGGGCGCTGCGAGTCAAGAGCGTGCAGCCCGAGCGCTGGGAAAATAACCTGAACCTTCGGGGTTCATTAAGAAGTTTTTAACTTGCCTCTAAAGAAAGCAAAATAAAATACAAAGGACACGGTATGTCTGGCTTGCTCTCCTAATTTTTACATTTACTTTGTAATTAGGCTATAGAATAAATTGTTCTTATTGTCCTTGCTGGGCACTATCCAACACTCTTTAGCTAGACAGTCTCGAATTTGAGGGTATTGCACATCCATCAACTTTGCTTCTATCATGCGACACACCAGGACACCCTGCTTAGGCAAGTTCTAAATATATACCTCAATTTCTCTCTCTGAGACACTCTTGCTTTGTTTTTTTGCACCTCTGCTTACCTGACCTAGCTATAAAGAATTCCCCACTTAACTGCTTCATGAAACACTAGATAAGAGGAACTGCAGACAACCTACACTTGAAAAAAATGAATGAAAAATAAAAGGAATTGGACTATCAAGCAAAACTGAAGCCAGATAATTTCAGTTAGGGTTCCCAAGGAAGCTAGCATATTCATGAGACCCAAGTGACTAAATGCCGCATTTGTTTCATGCATTTTCCCCTTTTTTCTGCTCATGCTGTGCCTGCTAATCAATTGTAATTTTCTTAAAAGTCTTTTCTATTCAAAATAAAACTTGTCAGATACAATCTCTAGCTACTCCTTGATCTTTGAGAGGCTCATTGGGAATCTTTGATTGAGTTTTTGGATAAATAAATCATATTGCACATTTCTGTTTCCTAATTCAAAGACACCAAAAAGGGTTGGAGGAAAGGGTTGGGGTTTTTTTTATTGATAACACATGAACTTTTAAAGTGTTTTGCTGGGTATTTAATATAACTCTGACAGGTTTTGCAAGTCCCTAGAGAGTCTGAAGAAAGTAAATGCCAAGTGAATGCCAGTGTCAAACTAAGAAAAAAAAACAGTGATTTGATTAAATGTACCTACCTATCTGTCAGTACTTGCCAAGATCTGACGTCAACTGTGGGCTAAACTTCTGTTTTGGCTCCTTTCTTGGCTTCCGATTAACATTTAAAATGTTAGTGAATATTTTAAATGTGACCATGGCATTCTCGGCAAGATGCTGGGGAGGATTTGCTTTTTGATCCTATTCCGTAAGAGAGAAAGCCTCCTGCCTGGCATTTTGACATGTTGCAAAGCTGGTCTCTGTGGACCTGCATGGGACTGAGAAGAAATGTGAAGCCCCTTAGCAGAGATACTTAGCTCAAAACCACAATATTTTTTTTTAGAGTAACTTTGTCTTACAATGCCAAAGCATTGCAAATGAATCCTATTTCTTACTATAAACTTCACACATTTTTGAGGTTTGACGGCCAGCAATAACTGTAGGAGATTTACAGCTGCCTGACAGATCTTATATTCTACGTATGGATTACAGTGATGGAAGGGAAGCTATTACAGATGTCCTCAATCCAGAAAGATGCCTAGTCTTTTCTTCAGGATGATTAAGAGTCCTTGGCTTCCGTGTGTGCTCCAGAACTAGGACTTGCAAGGGAAAGTGGACACAGAAGGTATCGCTATTTTTAGTTTCCGTATGTGAGAGGCAACCCAGGCGCTTTCTTTGCCATGCAGTGAGCATATGGGCATTTTTCCTCCTAAAAGTGAAGCTAGAAGCTAAGGTTACTACAGATGGAACATTTATTTTTCTCTGTCCTGGCAGGCAAGCGAAAGCCGGAAGCTGCTGAGCGCCGTGAAGGGCCTCCTGGACGAGTTCCGTGCGGAGCTGCGGGACGACGAGCGCGAGCGCCACGGCCTCCAGCAGCAGTACGCGCGGGACAAGGCCGCCTGGGAGGTGGAAATGACCGAGCTCAAGTGCCAGCTCGAGCAGGTAGTGCCCCCCATGTCTCGTACTTGTAAGGAAATGGCAGAATCACTTAACCGAGTAGGAAATGGGTACAAGTTGAAACACAGGAAGTTCCACTTCCATGTGAGGAAGAACTTCTTTCTGGTGAGGATGACAGAGCCCTGGCACAGACTGCCCAGAGAGGTTGTGGAGTCTCCTTCTCTGGAGATCTTCCAAACCCGCCTGGATGCCACCCTGTGCCACGTGCTCTGGGTGTCCCTGCTGGAGCAGGGGGGTTGGACTAGATGATCTCTAGAGGTCCCTTCCAACCTCAACCATTCTGGGATTCTGTGAAATCTGTGGCAGTCAGGAAGATTACTGTATTTATCCTTTTAAAAGCCAAGCGTCATGAGGCCTCCCTGGGTGCCTAAGCAATGCCTTGCCCTTTGAGTACCTCTTGGGTTTCAGTTGCCCCAGGATGAGTATCCGTGGAGCAGGTACTGTGTAATATACGTGAGGACAAAGGATCTGAACCTCTTCTGGTTTTAATTCCTCCAAAGAGTTGGCTGGTAATATATCAGCTGTGATAATGAGACATGCGGCTGTCTGTATTCATTAGCATTTTTAGGAGAGAAAATGTCTTCGTGTTGGCATGTTCACAATTAGCTTATCTCTGTGCCTTGGCACATAACAACTGCAGTATTTGATGCTTAGGAAAGAAATGAGTAACTTAATAATACCGAAGCATCAGATCAGTATGTCCTAGCAAACCAGCCAGTCCAGGCTACTGACTGGTGACGGATGGTACCGCAGTGGAGAGAAAGCTCTAGCTTCCTGCCATAAGTTTCTATTAAAAGCATGTCTGTAAAATCTGGCGCCAGGTGCTGCAGTGTTGCAAACTGCCGTTCACAGTTCACTGTTTCTGAGGCAAAATGAAAACAAACCTGCAGAAAACCACATGGCATCATTTCCAAGGCTGACAGCGTAAAAGCTTTGGTTTTCTGCATTGAAGAGGGGAGGGGAAGGAGAAATAATATGTTCAGGTCCTGTTGGAAAGATTTATAATTGTAGAACATCTCTGTAGAAGACAAATGTAACAACAATATTAGCTGCTGAGACGATGGTACATTTAGGAGGATTTACTGAACATGGGAGCACTGTCAGGAGACTCGCTGTGACGCATGGTGTGGAGACGTGAACACTTCTCTTCCTGGCCAGGTGCAGTGATGGAAGAAGATTTAATTTCAGTAGAATTTTCCCTCAGTGGATTCAGATTCTCATTTTCAGATCAGCAGTGTCATAGCGCACACGAATTCCCAGTCAACAGATCATTTGAAAAAGAAAATAAAAACAATTGCCATTTTCTCTCCCTAACCTAAATGTGAGAACAAAGAGCAAAACTTAGAGACAGTTAGTTTGAGAAATCTGCAAGTGCAGTGCTTGCACCTTTGTGTTCATATGGGCAATGTACACCTAGGCTGCTGTTTTGGTTGGTGAGACCGTGCTCCCATACCCGCCCTGGGAGCAGGGAGGTTTGCTCCCTTCCTTTCATCCAACTATTTTCACTCTCTCTACTTTTGTGCTGTCCTGCTGGTGGCAGTTTGTCATATATGGTAATTGCTGAATGGTGGATGTTATGTTTTTTTATTTCTTTAAGCAAGTTAAGGGAATAAAACATCAATATTTAAGGCATGAAACTGACTTTCTTGCCAGACTCCCCCAAAGAGGTTTATACTGCACTATGAAATCGAGTCCCCAGTGAAGCAGCAAAAAGATACTGTACACACCACTAGCCCATCAAATAGGATAGTGCACACAATGTGAGCGTCCCACTGATTTACAAGTATTGGTTGGTGGCAACGTAATAACAAGATGTAATATAAAATTAAATTAGAAAACAGAAATAATGGAAATACAAAGTAGGAATGAGCCAAGGCCGATGGCAGCGATTCAGACTGTGGGGCATTCTTGTTACAGGCTCAGCCTCAGAATCAGCATGGGGGCAGCTAGTGAATGACGTGTGAAACACCGGCATTACTTACATTCACATTGACAGTCTGTGCAGTTCAGTGCCATCCATGATGTAGGATAACAGCTCAAAACAGCCCAGGTTTCATGTCAGTGTGGAGAGAGGACCTCTCAGCCTGTCCTGTTCACCGATGGCAAGAGAGCAATGACTCCCTGCGGCAGGACAGAGCTGCCCAAGCCCTGACAAGCCAGTAGAGAATCGAGGCCTTTCTCGCCTCCGCCACTGTCTTCACGAGTGGTGTTTGCCCTGTTTTTTTGTGAAGCAGGAGGTCAGTTAGAGCATCTTCCTCAAGACAGACACCTCCAAGCTAATGGCTGCTGACAGTGGCTTTGTCTTTTGATGCTGGAACTCTCTGTGTAGGAAAGAAAGAAATAGAAGGAAAGAAAAAATTCTTGGGCTAAAATAGCAGGGCATATTGGAGATGATCATATACTGCTGCCTTGTGCTTTGGAGCTTTAAGATTTAACACAGCGTATGTCATTAAAAACAAAATAAAACTCTTGTCTGTCAGATGTGCATATCCATCTTCTCTGGCAGAAGGATCCTCAGGCATTGTTTTTAAGATAAGAAGTAGTGCGTTTGCTCCTAACTATGGGAATCTGGTATCTCTCAGCCAATAACGAACCCCAGCAATGCTTAGCCTCCAGCTGGGCAAGTGAAAAAAAAAGCACTGTCCTAGGGAAGCAGGGAGAAAGTGTGGCTTGTTCAGCTTTTCAGCTTCTTTGTATTCATATTCATGTAGTTCAGCTTCTTTGTACCTTTTAGATTTGAAAAAAAAAAGAAGGAATTTTCTTTATAATTATACAAATTGCATATGTTACAGCAGAGCATTTTTTGCTTTATAGGTTTGTTTTGACATTTTCATGCTTCATGCCAGGTCAGGAATTTATAGCAGGCATGGGGAGGTGTTTGCAACTTAGCATGTTAGCCATAGCTACTACTGCAAGTGGTCCAGGAGAGAGCAAACGTGCAAGGTTGTGCCTGCACTCCAGATGCTGCCTCTGCTAAGGGCTCCCATTCCAAGATGGGAAGGCTGCAGTGCCTTAATGTCCCTTGAAAGGTGAGTTGCATATATCCCAAAGAACAAGTCTTAAATAATCCTCTGTCACGCTAAGGTGCAAGGAAATTGTATACAATTTGCTTCATTTTAGAGTCCCTTACATTGTGGCTGATCTCAGCTCCCCAGTGACATGTTTGGTACAGATAATTATTTAGTGTCACAACTGTTTAGTTACCCCAGCAGACACTTGCAAAGGGCAACCCTTTGGGACCACAGGATAGTAAACTCAGAGCAAGCAACCCTGAGCAAATGGGTGCCAGGATGGCTGAGCACCAGCCGTGACTCCAGCAGCACCATAAACTGGGGAAGTGGGAATTGGGGACGCACAGAGGGAAGATGTAGCAAAAAGAGCAAGATGCCATTGTCTGCAGCTAGCAGTGAGTTTGGCAGCAGGATTTGTAAGTATTGCTGAGCGAAGCATGAGCTGCCTGCGGGAGTAGGGGCAGGAGGACAGCAAAGCCTGCTGGCTTCTGTGCTCAGGGACCATGTCTCCAGGAATGGACCTGCAGCACTGAGGTATTTAATATACCTGTGTGTGTGTGTATTCAGTTACAACTTGCAGTTGTTGGGCAGAAAAATCTTCTCAGGGCTCCTCAGGGTGGCCTCCAGGCTCATCTGTCCAGCTGTCTGCCACTCCTTGCACTCGACTGCCCCTGAAGTCAGTGCAGGTTTATCACTAACTTTGCTAGCACTAGGGTCAGAGAACTTGAGCAAAAGATTAATGTTTCATTACTCTCTAATTAATTAATGCAAAAAATACTCCTTTAAAATCTTAGCATTTCTGCTCTGTTTTGAATTTTTTTCACATTTCTGATGTAATTTCTTCTCTTCCTAGTCTGGTACCTGCCTTTCTGCTCGTTTATTGACAACTTGAGTTACTGAGTTAAATACTGTCAGAAATATCGAGATCCTACTGATCTGACTTGAGGGAGATTTTGCAGGTATAAATAGTTAAAAGTGAAGTCTCCAATAACTGGATCTGTGCACACGATCATACATCTGAATCTCATCAGCTGCCGTCAGTGTAATTCTGCCCCACAAATTTACACTGCACAAACTAAGGGAGAGAGACATGGTGCCCTTTGAACTTAGTTAAACAAAGGGCCTGTGCTTTTATAATTGATTTTTTTGGTGTGTTTTAAAATAACATTACTTTAGAAATTAGTGGTAGAGTAAGCAGGTGTTTGAGATCTCCCTGTCAACACAAGTAGCTGTGGAGGATGTTCTTTCATTAGTCTTAAAATACTTAAGCAATGAGTTTCCTGCCACTTGGGGAGCTGCTTCCATGGAGTAGTCTCCCTGACTTAGATATGTTGGACTTATTTTCCACCTGTGACAGTTTGAAGTTGTTTTTCTCCTCTCCTGCTAAAGGATGTGTTTCCCAGCAGACCTGCAGCCTGTGTTTTTTGTGTACACCTTTGGCTTCAGAGATGGAAATGAGCCCTCACTGTCTTACCCTCCTGTTTGCCTGCAGAGCCAGGGGATGTGTCTCACTCTGACTCACTTTTGCATGGACTGAGCTGTTAACAAAAGGTCAGGCTTCAGGGATACATTCTTCATTTCTCTATCACAAGATAATTCCATTTTCACCCTGTCGACAGCCCAGCAGTGGCCCAGGGTTCCCAGAGAGGCTGCTCAGTCTCCCAACTCCGAGGTTTGTCAGGACCCGACCGGACACAGCTCAGAGCCGCCTGGTCTGACCAGAGCTCATCCTGCTCTGAGACGGCCCTGGGTGAGAGACCTCCTGAGTCCCCATCCCGCCTGAATTTTTCCCAGGACCTTGGGCCGGATGTTCTGCTCTGACAGAGCTGACCCCTGAACACAGAGTAAAGGAAAAGAGAGACAAGTTAGCATCAACTAACTGCCTGAGCACCCTAGAAATCCACTGAGGAACCAGAAGCTTCAGAGATGGGGTGCGATCCGAGTACATCTCTTTTCCTGGTGATACCCTCTCTTGCTGGAAGCTGTGCGGAGCTGTGCACTAAGGCCTTTGGTGAGAACTGCTCTGGGCAAGAGGTCTCTTGGACAGATGAGTGCCCTGAGTGGGCGAGCGAAGCAGAGCCTTGGTGGGGGCCCTGGCGGGTGTCTCGCTGCTGAGGCTGGAATTTAGCTCCGTGTTTCCTCGCCGCTGGCACCCATGCATCCGTCAGAGAGATCGCACTGTACCTTAGAGCATGAGCTGGTAGAGCTGGGAAAAAAGACTGACTGTGGTTTTTACTGTTCTCATTTTAAAACTTGTTGTCAGTTGAACATCTTTGATGGTTTGTTGAGATCCTAGGAGCTAGGAATTACCTTAATTTTGCAATTATCTTTGTGGAGTTAGGTCTTAAATTCCTTGTCAGACATGGGTTTTATCTTCAGAAATCCTTATACAGCTTTATCTTGATGGCAGCTGGAAGGGAAGAGCGAGAATGCCTCGGGAGAGACAGGCCTCAGCGCCGACGCCAAGGGGGCTTTCAAAAGGGAGAGAGAGGAGCACAAAAAGCTTCTGGCCGAGAGTCACAGTGTGGTGATGGATCTCCGCTGGCAAATCCAGCACAGCGAGAAGAACTGGAATCGGGAGAAAGTGGAGCTCCTGGACAGGCTTGATAGAGACCGTCGGGAGTGGGAGCGGCAGAAGAAGGAGCTGCTCCGCCGGGTGGAGCAGGTAAGGGGCCGCCTCTGCGGGCGGCCGCCTCGCGCCGGCTCCGCACGGGGGCTCGCCGGTGAGAAGCTGTGCTAAGAAACAGCAGAGGGTTGTTTTTCCGTTTCTTGGCTACCTCAGGGTTTCTCATGGTCCGTAACAGTTTGCATACACAAGGGAATACAAGGAAAATGCTCATAATCCATTTAAAATAATGTTTCTGAGAAATCAGCTCCAGGTGAAAGGCCATTTCCTGCCTCATTTTACTTACCCAGACAGGGATGGTCACATTGATCCATCCTGTTTGAAAGTTTGTACACGTGTCTTCATGCTAAAACACTCAATCCCACACACAGGGTTATTTGAGGTTTGATACACAGCTTCCTGCCAAAAGAAGTCTGTTCCTCCATAAATTGCCACCAAAGATGCAGCTGCTGTGACTATTCAGTCTCTTTTTCTCTAGCAAGGAAACGCAGGGGGTGACAGGGAAGAGCCCTGACTCATGACAAATAAGCAGCTATCGATGCTGAGTATTCAGAAGACACTTCTGACCTTGCTCACATGAATGACATGAACCTCTGCTATCATTTGCAAATCTATTAATTGCATGGCTCTTCCACTTGTTTTTCGTGCCGATCTGCACTTTCGTCTGCTTAGTATTAGAGCCCAATTTGAAAATGTTGTTCCAAATTACACCTAATGGATTTACTCTTTGGCTGGAAGCCACAGGAAAAAAAAAAAAAGTTTAATGAGGGATGGCTAATACAGAGTTTTTGAGTGAACATTGTTCAGTTCTGAGTCATGCATTCCTGGAAGAGAAAGAAAAACAACAAAAATTGTGATTCCTCAATTAAGTGATTACTTTCTGTCCTTAGGACTTCAAAAATGGAATTGCACCAGATTTGTGTATGCTCTCTAGGGAGCATTACACTTGAATGAAGCACAAAGTAGCTTCACATGTTAAACTGATGAAAGCCTGGTATAATCTCATGACCCATCTCTGAAAAGCACTCATTATTTATCTGTACCTCATATTCCCACGCTTAGGCTGCAACAAGAAGCTAAGGAAAATTCAAGAGGCAGTGAGTTGAGTGCGAGACTACACCTCGCTTTAAGGTGTGGCTTTTAAATCTACAGAGAAGTACTTAGGAAAGTGTTGTACTCTATGAACATTTCTAAAATCACTAACTTTGTAGGTATCACCCAGATGGCGGTGGTGACCATTATGAAAGCTTTATCAACTAAGAAAGGTAATTTTTGAGCTTCCTAATTTAAAATACCAATAATTGATATTCTGGGTTTTTTTTTTTTAATCTCCCATATGTCAAAGTGTTTTTGAGAATAGGTCAGGAAGCTAATGGAACAAACCCTTATGCTGCTTGGTAATGCAGACCAAAATTGGGTGTCAGATAGGGCAGCCAATAGACACCATGGAGGAGGGCTTGCGACCAAGCAGTTTATCATCAGACTCATTTGATTCCCAGGCTTCACAGCAAGGGGATGCTGAGTTCTCCATGGTTTGACTGGACTGCTCTCTAGTTGTTGAGTTTCAGTGACAAAACTACCTCCTAGGGATTCTCCATGCAAAATATAAAGCCATGGACACAAATTTTTGTTTGAAAAGTCATTGCTGCCTCCTTGGATGTTTATGTTCACACTCTCTGTGAATTGTATTTTTTTAATGTTAGCTCCTTGATATATCCTCAATAACCTGAAGGATTTAACCTGGTTAAAAACTGCTTTTCTCCTTCATGAGAGTAAAGGAGTAGAGGTTAGTAAAGGAGTAAGGAGAAGAATCCCTGTTAATGCTACCTGGTCTTATTTTTCTATAGACCTAACATAATCTCTCCATGCCATCTTGGGAGAGCCTACAAAATAGCCCTAAACCTGTTCTGGAACTGGTTCTGAAACCTCTACAGTACAGCTCTGTATTTTCTGTACAACTGAATTGTTCACAGTATTAGTGATAGATAGAGAAACAAAGCATATGATATCAAGCTATTCTTAAAGGACTGGAGGATCACAAATAGCATTTGAAGACTTGGCTATCTGCCTGCAAAAAATCCTAACCCAATCTTTGCTTGTAATCAACCATTTCCCTGTGTGACAGGGAGCTTCCAAATATTTGCAGACTTTTAGTGGAATATCCTCTCAGATTGCATTCGTGCCCTGCTTTAGATGGAAGCAATTAGAACATCTTTAAAGTCCTTCTCCCCCGTGTTTTTCTGTGTGTATTCCATGTATGGAAATACACAGAGACCACACCAGTGTGCATGTTTGAAAAACAGACATGAGGAGATAGTAGAGGTCTGTGTGCCAAGTTTCCTCCTAATGCTTCATGCCTGTCTGCTTCCACATAGTTCCTGAATAATACATGTATGATAAGAGGTAAGCTCACACCAATGGAGAAAATATATAAAATATGTTACACTGGATGGGTATAGGGATCCTACTAACATATTAAAAAAGCATGCATGATGACCTACTTCTTGCTGAGCTCCAAGTTTTATTCTTTTCAAGTGCACTGTCACTTTGTTTTCCCCTAGAGACTCCCCTACTACTGTGTTACCAAAGCTAATCCGGAACGGATCACACTGCCAAATATTTAAACGCATGAGATTACCTGTGTGAAAAGCTGTGTGTTTCTAGGTGTTAACGGATGGGGACACCAAATCATTAGTCACTTAAAATTTAGGCTGGACTTTATCATTTTAATTCGCCTGTCAGTTGTTTGCCAGTCAGAGCGTAAGCAACAAACTGTAATCTTATCTCATAAAGGTTCCCAGACCATCATATCCTAAGGATCCATGAAAATTCAGAAGAACTTACATTTGGAACTGCTTGTACAGAATATATGCAGTTACTATTTTTCCTTGCAGTGGGCCCTGCACATATTCCAGGGAAAGGACTCCAGGACCTCTGGAGAGACCTTCCACCCCTATATGTAGGGGATACTTTAAATTAGTTCCTGGTAATCAAGCTGTTTCAGATTTTGCAAATAATGAGCAAAACATTGAAGATGCATTCAGTTTTTTTCAAGCCTAAATGAAACAAAAATCCGCTGAGTGCAGCCCAAGTGCAAGTTTAGTTGCTTGCATCCTGACCGAAAATGGTTCTGAGCCAACTGATGCCTTTTTTGTATTTTTCCCACCACACCCAAGAAGATTTAGTTAATATGTTCTTGTAGGTCCTGAGCCTTCAAAGTCCTAGGGGATGACTTGGGCATTTGTAGGTTATTGTTGTTTGGGCCTGATAAAGACCTTAGCAGGCAGCTGTAGCAGAACATCAGCATTATGCATCAGATTCCTCCTACCATGCATTGCTTGAAAATATCTTCATCCATCTTCCTGCATTTACAACTAAAAGGAAAGCTGGCCACATAATCTAATTTAAGATTCAGTTTCACACATGTTCCTGTCTTCTCTTCACCCAGTTCTTGCAAAGTATAGAGTTAATAACTTTGATGGTCCTTCTATAAATATTCATTTTCCTCCAACATAACTTTTTGTGCCTAATTTGTCTCTCTGGCAGTACAAATATCCAACTTTATAGCTATGCATTGGTCAGTTTCTAAAACATAGACTTTGTTTTTTGTTAAGTGATTTTTTCCACCTCTGGAAACAAGAATGTAGGGTGGGTGATGTACATAAAAGCGCAACCCTTATATTGCTGATGAGAAGAAAATTGTGTTTGCTTTGAGTAACCAACCCTTTGAGCTTCTACTTGTATTGCTTTAGGACCACATATCAAGATTGTTTTTTAAATAATAATAAGAGTTGATTTCTTTGTAATTACATTACAAGCAGATGCATTTTGTGTGTATACACACAAACACACACATATACACACACACACATATATATAGGGTGTGTGCGTTTGAGTGTATGTATACATATATACATAAACACACACAACTGTATGCGTATATATATATTTAATCACCACAAATGCAATGAGGGAGAACATCAGAGCCCTTGGGATTCCTCCTCCCTTGCAGAAGAGCACGCTGCAGTGCTGAAAGCTGCCATGCCAAAGCTAAGCTCTGTGCTCAGACCACATGCCGTGCCTGCCTCCCAAGGACACGCGTGTGGAAAAGGACACTGCTACGGAAAGCTACGTTCTTCAGAAGAGAGGTGCAGAGTACCACCTCCTACATAAATAACTGCTCTCTGTTTTAATTTGTCTCGTTGCCAGCTTCAGAAAGAAGTGAGCCCGCGAAGAGGGAGCGGTTTCCTTTGTGACCAGAAGGAGAGCAACCTGCGTCCGTTTGCAACCCAGGGGAACCTTCACCTACCGCGCGCCATGGGGGCAAGATCCTACTCTGACTCAGATGCCATCCAGTTTGACGATCGGTCGCTGTCGAAGCTGAAGGAGAGCGATAGGTGCACGGCCACGGAAAACCTCTTTCTGGAGTCGCTGTCCCTGGATTCCCCTGAGGAGCCCGAGGAGCACCGGTCGCGGCAAGCGGAGCGGGAGAAGTTCTTGACGGGCTTGACGGAAGTACGTGCTCTGCTGGTGCTTCTTGTCTCACCCTGCTTTTATGGATAGCTATACCTGATATAACATACTGGGTTACAAGGTCCTAAACCTCTTCCAGGTGTAAATACATGCATACATGCACATACATATTTCTCTGTATATGAAGAAGCATAGGCTCTATTTTCTCAGAGAGGTAACTCTGGTTATCCCCTAGTGGTTGCCTTCTGAAGAGATTAGCACAAGTCAGTGAGATGAGATTTTTAAAAATAAAATGGTCCTTCGTTAGCAAGTTACAGAAATTACACTATAAAAAGGTAGTAAGTACCAAAACACAGTATTAAGAGGTGCCATCAGGCTGCAGTGAATGACCCCTATGATCTGCTGAAGTCTGCTCTAAAGCACACTAACTGGTGCAGGATCCACGTCTTCACAATTCAGTTTATATCCATGCTGAATGAAATCCAAGGTCCCCATCCTTGTAGGCTCATACAAAATTACCTGCCAACTGTTGTGTAATACTCACTGCGGTGAGGATGTCCACATTAACCACAACTGTGCAGTTTAATCCCTTCTGTGAAATTAAAAGCACTTTGAAGCTTCAAAGTGCTACAGTCTTCCTTGTTTTCTGTTGTTCCTTGAGTGTTAATAGCTCAAGAAGTGTTCTGCAGGTTGCAGTTTTTATCAAGCAGGCAGCATGTTGCTTGCTTTTTTCCACCTGCTGTATGTTCCAGCTTCTAGTTTTGAGAATTCTCTTCTTGCCTGAAAATTCAGATTTGTGCATGAGTTAGACACTTATGCTGTGAATGTGTGAATACTGGTTGGATATACAAATCATAGCTAACAGGTAAGCAGAAACTTTCCCATGAGAAATCCATGTGTGTACGCAGGCTTAAAAATCTGACAGCTCTTGGAAGAAGCTCGACAACAGATCAGACCATGAGCTCCCTGTGGGACTGACACAGTTGCACCAGTGTGGCTTAAATTGAACACTTTGGCCTGTGAAAATGGGACCTGAACTTTTCCTGGAGACTTAAAGCATGGTTCCTTAGCTAAAGGACTGCGAAGTCAGGTTGTTTGCAAGGAAGCAGAAGTAAAAATGGAGAGAGCCAAGCAACATGACTCAATATGACTCAATATGACTATGTTCATACATTTAAGTACCTGTAGCTGCATGTGCATTGCAGCTGGCTTTCCCTCCCCTCAATGTCAGGAGTGACTGGGTGGAAATATAGGATTCCCTGTTCATGCTGTCTCATTCTTTCTTCCCTGTTTATTTCATGTGTGCTCAGGGGCTTAGTGAAAAATTCTGATACTGTTCTCCAGGATTTCCGGGTTTGTGTTTGACTGACTGTGTTTGACTATTTAGTCCTAATTATTTTATTTTGTTCCTTGTCATATTTGGTATTTGCTATATTTTATTAGAAATACGAATAAACAGTTGAACAATAGCTGTAGAGCAATTGCTTCAGGAGAATCTATTACAAAAAATAAAAAAAAAGACAACTAATTTTGGTAATTGTCACAGGGAAATAATTGCCATAACAACATCTTAATGCTGTTAGCAAGGCATAGGTATTCCCGCTATGAAACAAGTAGTAGTTTTCCAACACGTTTAATATAGCTAGTCTAATGAGTTACAGCTGGTGGCATTTGTTGGTTCCTAGAGAATATATAATGAAATCTTGTGCCAGAGGACCTTGTTTTATCTCTTCTTTTGGCACAACTAGGTCTCTGTTATAACGCAGATTAACTCCAGAGAACTCACAAAACTATGGTCCAACTAAATATTTTGTACATATGGAAGAAAACTCTTTTGCAGCTTACTTCTAGTCCTGGTAACATGGGTCTGTAAAAGTTCAAGGTCATTTTGGGTTTGGGACACGCTCTTTATTTGTGCAGTGTGTTCTTCCAGCCCGATTGACACTTTTCCTGCCTGTGTTTAAAGGGAAGAATATTTCCACAGGCACCTTGTGATTCCTTATCCTAGCAAAAATCAGCTGTTTTTTTAGGGACCAACTTACCTGTGGAACTACGTGGAAGTAAATGGCAAAACACCCACTAGTTCATGCCATGAGGAGGTTCAGAAATAACTTACCTTCTTTGTTTCTGTTTTGCTTCAGGAAGAAGAAACGCACAAGGGAAATCTTCAAAGGTGAGTAAAACTGCAGGGGAAAATAAAACAGCAAAACAGAAAAAAAAAAAAAGAAAGAAAGAAAAAAGAAAAGCAGCAGCCAGAGTTTTCACATCCAAACCACAACCTCCAGGCACAACCCTGCTGCCGCCTCCTCAGCTTTGAGCCAGGCTCATGGACTTCTCTGGGGGTTAATTTGTCTCAGGATGCTTCTGTTCTCCTCTGGTCAATGTGGGCCATATTCAGCTGTGGTGCAAAAAAAATGGGCTATATGTGCACGAGGCTTCAGCTTTCACTGGAGATTATGTCTGCAAGTAGAGCAGACCTGTTAGCACACCGATATGTAGAGCAAAGCAGATGGTGCTGAGGACGTGACACCCCCATGCATGTCAGGGATATTTTGCTGTGGACAATTTCTCTTGATTAGAAAACTTACATTGTCATTTTATTGTACCTTCTGGAACATTTCTGTATAAAGAGCGTTGCTGACTGAATCCTCATCCAGCTTTAGCTACCTCACTGAGCAGACTCTGTAAATAACCACAGTTATTTACATTTTTAAGTAATTCGATTCAGAAGTATTCTTCTGTTGCTTGATTTTTCTTACAGGGAAGCAGTAGGACGACTCAGCCAAACATTTTTAGTTTGTATGAGCTAGCAAAGTGTGGGAAAAGCCTGGAATCGAGCATAATTGTGGATTCCTTTTTGCTGCATTATAGCATGAGCTCAGCTCCCCCAGCCAATTCAGTAGAGCAGCATCTAGGCTGCCCCGTGTGGCTGTGCACCCTGAGCCGTCTCGGGAGCAGGGATGGACGGGCAGGTTTCACGCCAGGTCGCAAATACTCCACACTTGCTGTGAAATGGGCACCTCATGCTCTCAGGAAGGCTCCTCTTCCATGAATACCATATTTCTGAAGCACATCTTACTGCTGCACATTTCAGATATTTGCGAAGCGGCAATCCAGGAGAAAACAGTAGATTAGGAGCCATTAATAAACTATTGGGCACTCTTAGTGACTCATCAGGAATGCTGGCATTTCATAGCTGTTAATAAGGGAACTTTAGCAAAAAAGAGAGCTAAAGTGGTTTCAGTGTGCAAGTCCTTAGTGAAAGCAGGGTTGTCTGAGGTAGTTTTCCACTGGAAAAAATAAAATTAAAAAATAACAGTTCTGTGAGGGTCGGTGCAAGTATAATACCTCTGTGCTCTCCTTTCCAGGGCGATGTCCGTTTCTTCCATGTCAGAATTCCAGCGCTTGATGGATATTTCTCCATTCCTCCCAGAAAAAACCTTGCCTTCATCTAGCAGCAAAGATGATATCACACCTCCCTTGTCTCCTGATGACTTGAAATACATCGAGGAGTTCAATAAAAACTGGGATTACAGTAGCACTAGGAACCATGGTGGGGCTGCCGAGAAGCCTCCGGAAGCCTGGGCAGATAGGACAGAGATGGGGAAAGCTGGGAATGAACCTGCTTCAGATCCTTTCCAGGCGTCATCCTGGTACCTCACCACCAGTGTCACTATGACAACTACCACCATGACCAGTCCAGAGCACTGCCAGAAGCAGCCAACGAGGAGTCATGGTGTTCCCGAAAAGATGGGAGTTCGGGTCTTTCACAGCCCACCGGTTGTCCGTAGGTTTGATAATTCAGTGCTAGCTGGCAGCGAAGGGAAAAACCAGGTCGAGCCAGATTTCCTGTTTTCTGTGACCAAAGCTATGGGGAATGTTGGTGAGACAAAAGGTGCTTCCTCAGATATGTTTGGAAGATGGTCTTGTGACCTGGCCAAACATCATAAGGATTTTCTGGAGAGTGGTCTCCATCCCATTGAGCGCCCTATTTGCACTACTGTGGGCTTTGCCTCACCCTTGCACACCTTGGAGATGTCCAAAAACATGAGTGACGACATGAAGGAGGTGGCTTTCTCTGTTCGGAACGCAATACGCTCCAACTCCACTTCAGCAGAGCCTCAGTTCAAGGACACGGCTTGTCAGACCAACGGGATGAGAACGACCGGGACACAGACCACGCAGACCATCAGCGTGGGCTTGCAGACAGAAACCCTGCGCAGCATCACCAGCAGCCCGCACAAGTGTCTCACCCCAAAGGGGGGATCCACTCCTGTCTCTTCACCATCCAGAAGCCTGAGAAGCAGGCAGGTGACCCCCGTCATTGAGAAGGTCCAGGCTAAGTTTGAACGCACGTGCTGCTCCCCCAAATACGGCTCTCCAAAGTTGCAAAGGAAAATCCTTCCCAAATCAGAGCAGCCAAGCGGCCGGCCTGTGCCTGGAACACCCCAGAAGGGCTTCAGCGAGTCCGCTTGGGCAAGATCCACGACCACACGGGAGAGTCCGGTCCATACCACCATCAATGATGGCCTCTCCAGTTTGTTCAACATCATTGACCATAGCCCCATCTTTCATGAGACCTTCCAAAAATGCCCCAGGTCTAGCAGCCGATCCAGGTCAGCAGAACCCAGAGCAGAGCTGGGTCCAGTGCAGGAACCATGTACAAATGCCCGTGGCAGATCACCCAGTCCTCTCCGTTTGGGGACAGAGGCGCAAAAGGAAGAAGGGACTGAGGTGACAAGCATCAGGCAGGACCTGTCTGCTCCTCCAGGGTATACACTTGCAGAAAATGCTGCCAGGATCTTGAATAAGAAACTTTTGGAGCATGCCTTAAAGGAAGAGAGAAGGCTACCCTCACACAGCCCACCAAATATTAGCAATGACAACAGCACAGCAGATATTGTCAAAGTAGAACCAGGGTCCATAGAGGTAATGAGTTTGTTTGTTTTTTCTCCTTTAGCTAAATGCACCCTTCTTTGAGCAAATGTACTATGAGATGTCTTGCAGGCCTTCTGAGTATTTCGGTATTCTAGTCATGCCATGGTACTACCAGCGAGTCCCAGCCATGAAGCTGTTGGATTAGTCACTGAAGAACTCGTTAAACAATCTAAGTTCTATCCTGACAGCTTATTGGGCTTGAAAGTATCAAAAGAGCCTTATCTTTTATAGTTTTCCCCTGATTGCTTCTGTCACAAAACTCATCACAAATTAACAAATTAGAGACCCTAGGTTTGAGTAAATTTCTGTGTTGTGCTGGACAGAAAGGTAGGCTGTTTCTCTTATGCAAGAATGAGTAGTTCTCTATTAACAAGGCTAAAAATAGTGACTACAATGCCCCACTCCAGAACTTCAGTGCCTTCAGCGTAGCTTTTCTGGATGCATCTGCATAAGCTTGACTCTGGTCTGTACATGTGATTAAACAGCATGAAATTTGGAATTGACTGTTGCTGCCCTGCAAAATAGTAGTGATTATAATAATGAGAATCAACTAGTCTAAAGCACAAACCTATTTAATATTTAAGACGTCTATACTGATGTTTTACTGTGCTGTTGAAAGTTATCCGTCTCAGCAAATATACCCAAGCCTTGGGAGTCAGATCCTACGGTACAGGAACATGCTACAGAAATCAACCCAAAAGAGGGTGTAATGATGGACACAAGCTCTCTGAGCTGTCCATGTCTAAGAGAAGGAGTCTGGGGAAGCTGAGCCCCATCCAGCACTCAGCAGTGCCTGTTCTGGAACCTCAGTGCAGTAGCATTTTTCTGGCTAGTCAGGGCAGTTTCCCAGGGTAGGGACAGGAACTTGCCATGCTGCCCGTGCCCACCCTGGGCTGTCTCTGTGGCATCCCCATGTTTTGGCATCCCTGGGGCACCACCGCAGCCTTGCTGGGGTGAGATGGGCAGCAGCAGCAGCTCTGGGGGTCCATTCCTACCACTCCGGCCTTAGAAAGCCTCAAGGGAAGGGGCAAAACCCATTTGCTCAGACAACATCAGGGTCGAGAGGCTTTTCTGGGAACTGAGGGGCACTTTTTGCTTTTGCTCTGCAGTTTGCCTTTCACTAGCAGGTTGTTCTAAATGGGTGTGATTTGCTCTTCTTCTGCGGTTACTACTTGGAGGGCAGAATCATTTTCCTAACAGCATCCAAAGCTGAGGTTATATTACCTATATGCTGTTTGAAAGGAAATAAATAGGGAAGTTTGCATACGTATATACTGAAAAGCAAAACTACATGCATATTATAAATAACAGTGAAAGACAGTAGGCTGTGAGCATAAAGAAAAAGTGGAAGAAGCCTCATTTGTGTGAATCTTTCTAGCTATCTCTGTGTTTTGCCTATAATTTGAAATACTGGGAATGCATTACTACTCCTTATTAGAAAGTATGTGCTTTACTCTCACAGCATCACCTCAACTTTGCCTTCAAGGCATCACTGAAAACTCTTGATTTCCTCCTGCATCTTTTAAATATCTCAGCAAATTTCAAGTATAAGTAAACTGATGTCACCTCAGCTCATCACAAATTGCTGTTGGCAACACAGCCTACATCAGTACCAGAGTTTGATGCCTGGAGAGATTTGTTCAATGCTGTTTAGAAAAAAAAAAAAACATTGTTAACCATCAGCGTAGTAGAAAATTGCTTCTGTTTGGGAATTTTCAGTATCTTTCGCCTATTTTTGAGTGCCAACCCTCACAGCTCAGACTGTTTCCTCCTTGCAAGTCTCAGTTGTTCGGATTGTTGCTATGAAGTTGGGCTAGTCTCGTCCTTTCCCAAGAAGGTGCCTGGGAAAGGAAGGTGGGCGGCATCCACGAGGGGCTTAGCTTTTCCCAGGCGAGGTGGAGCTCTACAAGATGCGCTTGCGGAGTGTGGATTTCCTGCTGGAAAAAAAAGCTGCAAAGGGGTTTAGACTCCAGAAGTCCCTTGGGTTATGTGTGGGTTACACTGGCCATGTGCAAGTTACCCTTGTCATGTTTTGGCACAGGCAAGAGGCAGGACTAGGGCAGTTCTGCCACCCTGTACTGCTCCTTGCTCCATCCACTGCCTTGTCCATGGATCCCTCTGGGTTTCTGGACAACGGAAAGCCTTCCCGTCCCTGCAGTCAGGGCATCACCTATCTATGGCTTTAAAACTTGCCTGGAGCACTTGCTGGCAGCTCTTCTCCAAGTAGAGCTTCTGGATGTTCCCGTTGCATAATTTGCTTTTATATTCCTACAGCAAATATAAAATCTAGTTCATATATATTTACACATATATATGTGTGCCGGTATATGCATACACAGTAGCAATGTATTTTCATAGTAGCTCTGTATTTTTATTCTAACCTCCCCAGAGCTGCTTACAAGCAAATTCACATCCACCCAGTGTAGCCTCATGGTGTTTTACCCTGCCAATTCACTAAACTTACTTGCATATCATGAACTTTATAAATATTACCCTAAAAAAGCTAGGTTTACCCAGCTAGCCTCATTAGAACAGTAGAAACTTTTCCATAGCTGGCACAGGTGTAAATCAGGGAGGTTACATGGTGGGGGCAAGACCTGTTTCTGGAGAGAGCAGGGAGAAAGGGCCTTCCCTAAGGACCCACGGGAGAGGGAGCTGCTGGGTCCTCTGGCTGCTGGACCCAGCAGCACTGCAGGGAGGAGGGAGGAAGGAGCAGGTGGCAGAAGGTGAGTGTTTTATTTCAGTTTGCTGTGGAATAGGAGCAAGTTAATAGGAGCACTGTTAAATAGGAGCAAAAAGGGAGAGGCAAACAGCTCTCATCAAAGCTTTACATGGGCATCTGAGTAACATAAAAGTTAGTGGCTTTTTTTGCCTTTTAATCGTCCCCTAAGCAGAAATTCTCTCTCAAAATCAAACAAGGGGGAAAAAATACAGCTTTATTCCTCTTTTGCAATAACTTACTTTTTTTTTTTTTTTTTGAACTCTGGCCTTAACCAGGCTTGGCAAAAGATGAAACGCCTTTCTCCGCTGAATAGAAATGTTTGGATTTTTTAATGCCGTGTCCACTTCTGAGACACGGCTGCGTTTGCGAAGGGCTGGTTTGTTTGCTTCTTTCTCTCCTAAGTCTGTTCCTGCTAGTGGCTCATCTTCTTTTAACCACTCTTAGTTTCCCCCCAACCCGGTCCAGCTGTAACATGATCTGAATGGGTGGGAACTTCTGGAGACCTCCTGGCCAACAAGAGACCTTCACGTTGAAAAAAGAATAATTGATTAAAACAGATCTTTGCAACCTACTTGCTTTCTTTCTCTCTTTTCTGTCTGTTCTGTCCAGAACCAAACTGTCTTATTAACTGCCCCCTGGGGACTCTAACCCTGCCTGCCTCACTGCTGTAAGTCCTTTCCACCTTGTTTCCAGCTCTTTCCGAGAGCAGTCGCTTGGCACGGGTGCGTGGGCCCCATGGTGGGACGTGGTGGCCCTGGCAGCGCTCGGGGAGTGCACAGGATGGGACCCCAGTTGTGCATGGGGCACCAGCATAGGCAGGCCTGGAAAAGGTCAAATATCAGTGAAAATTTGGAGGAAAATGGGGTGGTTGGTTCAAACTTGAAAAAAAAATGAAGTTACTTAAGACACGGATAAATGTATGGGGTGGTGTTGGGACGGGAGAGTAGGCCCAAGGGCCTGTGGTCGCCTGGGGTCCCAGTTTGGCCAGTGCCAGCCGGAGGGCGACGTGGG